ATATTACTTTCCTCACGTCAACAAAGGCTGGATGGCCGTGATACCGCGGTGCCGAGTTTGTACTTCACCTCGCGCGCTGCGCCTAGTCAGCCACACGCCTAATCATAACCGAGCGCTCCATACGTCTGCGCGCTGTCACTTCTGGTGGTGGTCTGTTATTGATTATGAGCTTCGCTGCGGGATCTTGGCATGTGCGTGAGTGCTGCGCCTTGGGGGAGACGGACAAGAAAGCTGTAGAGTGCCGCTTCGTCGCGTGGCGTTACTTTGGTTTGTACTACACTTTCGACTGGAACATCGAATTTCATGGGACACATGGTAGACACTTATGTCTGTTTTTGGTCATACATGCCTTTCCTAGGCCAACACGAAATCGCCGTCGTTAGCAAGCGCGACGTCGCGCGCGACGCGCACACGGGGCGGCGAATACCGATTCTCTTGAGATGCGCGGGCGGAGTGTGAAGCTGGCAACGAGTATCTTTACTCTCCAGCCCGTTTCCGTGCACACGACCGTCCTTGGAGGCTTGCGTACAGTCAGTCTTCGAACCGATACTTCACTCAAACCGGCAAACTAAACTGTTTGTCAAAAGTGAATGTTTGAAGTTTGTGTGTTAATGCGATGATTATAGTGACCTGCAAGGAAGTTCTTCTCATCGTCTGAGTGGACAGACACCAGATGGGAACCCTGGTGAACACAAAAATTTTCGGCTTCGCTAATCGTGATAATGTGCGGATAAGCTCCAGGGACATTTCCAACTTGCACCATCTAGAACAGGCACTTTACCATTCAGCTGAACTTCAATTGCAGGTTCGAAAGGCTGCTTACCTGTACCATCGCCTTATTGACGGCTCCTTGTAAGGCAACCCACTGCCCAGCTCTTGCCATGTTAAGAACTTGACTTGTGATGAAACCGTAGACGCTTGCACGAAGCATCGACAAAGCCAGCACAGGAAGAAAGATTGAAGACATCATCGTCGCGTTAGGACAGCAACCAGAAGAAATGGTTCCTACCACGTCATTCAGCCTTTGTACTGCTTCTTATCACATTGCTTATCTCTCTCTGAGATATACCACTGCTATCATTGCTTTACCGCTTGATTGGAGCTATGATAACGTGTTTCATTTTCTACTGATGATATAAGCGAGATGTTTCTGTAAGAACCAGTGGTAGTTAATGGCACATTTAATTGTCAGTAGAAAGGTTCGAGCTAAGGTGGTTCGAAAAGTGGAATGCTAACTGCTGATAGTCTCGTGACAAATTAACGAAGTAAAGCTCTGAGGACGGGTTGGAGTTGAGTGTTCAAAGACGGTCTCACGTCCTAACGGAGGTCAGGGTCCGGCTCAGTGTTGCAATAGGGAAGCAGCCCAGGGTAGGTCAACTGTTTTATGTAACGGGATTTCTATCTGAAAGGCAGTAGTCCCGTTTTGCATAAGAAATTTCTCGAGAAGATCCCGCCAATGCTTTCAGAATTCTCAAAAATCCTCAGTCCCTTCGATAGTACAGAAAGTCTTCTTTTGGAGTCTTTGCAGAATCGTCAGCTAAGCATCGTGATCAAATGGAATTTCTTGGACTGTAGTGAAACTTTATATTTTCATGACATCTACAAAATTATCAGGAGGCATCAGCCCACAGGCAGCGTAAAGGCAAAATCAGGCTCAAGGACGAGAAAAGTGAAAACACGTTTCGGAAAATATGCATGCTATGAGTCAGCAGGTTTTGAAGCAAAAACCTCGTCTGAAAATGAGTTTCTATTTCAAAAATTCGTGTGCATGGTAAAACATCGCAGTGGGTTGAGTGGAGGTTTCAGAGCAACTTCCCACGATTGCTGCACCGAACTCCGCTCCTATACTACCTGCCAACTTGCCAAGCTCTGACAGCTTCTTGGCAGTTTCAAGTAAGCACGGGTTTTCTCCAACCAACCCCTCCAAATAGCCATAATGTGGTTTCATAAAGCCGCCGACTGAGAAAAAGAGGGAGAGTACATAATGCGCGTAA